TAAGCCATGGGCGAGGCATCATCGACGGGAACAAGGAACTGTCCTGAGCATGTGACCTATTGTGACACACAGCTGTGGAAGGAGCATTGGAGCCTGGTGGCTCAAGTGCAGCTAATGCCAGGAGTCGATAGCAGTGATAGCAGCACCTCTTGGAGGTGGCCGGGCTGTGACTGGGCGACACTTCCTGTCGAGAAGCAGGCTGAAAAGTAGAAGTACCATACAGCTCTGGCCGGCCTGCAAGGGCATCCGAAGGGCTGTGCCGGCCTGGCTCTCTGCCCGGCCATGGCGCCAGGCCTGGGGAGTTTGACGACTTAGAGGTGCAAGTTGAAGCATCGCCTCAGGCTCTCTTCTGCGCCTGTAGCCGCGTCTTACCGGGTACATCGAAGTCGGCTTCCGACCGCACGTCATGCAACGTGTGCTAATGTTCCTGAATACCTTCGGGCCTGTATTACAACAACTGCCGGGAGCAGAACCGAGGAACGACTGTTGGGAAAGGCATCAAATCAATGACAGACCTGACAAGAGGCCTCCACCGCCTCCCGGAAAGCAGCAGCCTCGGTTTGCGAACCGGCAGCCTTCCTTCTCTTGACACTGGACCTGCGCCGCCCTCACCTCTGCAGCTTCATCCAGCTCCCCATCCAGGAGGCACGAAGATGCCTGCCGAAACTGCAACAACCAACGCAGGAAGCCAAGGCTGCACAAACTAGGCCAAGCTCATGAACGCTCTCTGCCACGGAAACACATCGTCAGTTTCCAAACGGAGAAGAAGGATGTCTCCGCAGTTCACCGGAGTCAGAGACCGGAGGCCTCTTCCACCAGGCGGCTAGGCTGCAGCGGCATTGGAGAAGCCGGCATCAGGCCTGGCGCCTCGCTCGAGCTTGCAGCGCACTGGAGGCTACATCCAGGCTCAGGATGACCTCTGGCACCTTCCTGACACGTCCCACAGCTCAGAGCCCCGGATCTGGCTAACCCCTGCTACATACTGCTAACAATCTGACACACGAAACGAAAGCATCTGGCGGCGAACAGCACCCTCTGTGATTGTGACTTGCGAATCGGGCCTCAAGCTTTTGTGACGGTGAAGTTGCACTTCGGGAAATTTCCTGCGAGGACATGGAAACAATCGCAGCAAATCTTGAACAGAAGCATTTGCAAGGACCGCGTGGCATCCTGCATTGTCTCTGCGACCATGCCTGGTTTGATTGCCAGCGCATGTTGACCTGGAGGAAAGCGGAAAGAGTATCAGCATGACCCAAAGAGAAATACCTGCAAACACCAAAACTTCCTTGGCACGGAGATGCCGAAGAACATTGGAAGTGTTCTTATACATGGACAGACACCAGGATGTGCTGTATCCTCCGCGTCAACTGAATGAAGTCGAGCTGCTGGATGAAGCTCGGGATGCAAGACGCCTTGTCTGAGATGCACAGCAAGCAATCATTGAAAGTGCTGTCGCACAGGTCAGCTTTGCGGTGTGGTCTGGACATGACGTTCCAGCTAGGCAGCAGCTTCAGCTTGATCATGTGGCCATTCTTCATGCCCAACTCTCGCATATGTCGCTCTTCCATCTCCTCACGCCAGGTACATACAGCATTTCGCAGATCTTACTGCTCGTCCGTCTGCGACAACTTTGCGGAACCAGCTTGTCCGAATGAAAACCATTCAAGTCCTGTACAACATCCATGCAGTCGAAGCCATTCTCGATGAAGGCATCCGCATACGAGTGCCTATGCATTTCAAGATTCCAAACACCTTCGAATCTAACTTGAACAGCGGTTCGATCCGCTGTCCAGGTCATCTCTTCCACATGCACTTCACCAACGGCGGGTTGCAAGCCACTGTCGACGAGGAAATTGCGAACTTCAGCTGCCTGGCGTGGATGAAGCTGTTTCGCACGGGAAAGTGACAATTCCAAGCAGGACGGCGCTGACCTCATGCTGTCATGCTCTTTGCCGCGATCCAGTGCGTCGAGCGACGATTGGCAAGAGCAGCACTAACCCAACTTTGCGGAGGATGCTTGTGCACACAAGAAACATACTCTCTAACTCTAGCCTCGGACTCCTCGAATAGAAGGGCGGCACGCAGCTTTGCCGAAGCAGCCGTCGCGAGTTTGTGAGCTGCCTCGACAGGAGAAACATCAATTTTCGAGTTTTCCCGACTAGAACGACTGACTAGAAGGGAGAAGCCGAGTGCTTCATCGAGTCTTGAGGCAATTCCTGCGGTGCCGATGCCCTAGTTCGTTCACCCCGGCCCCAGACAAGACTGACACACATCGGCTTGTGTGACAGAACAACCGCACGCACAAGGCTATGTCAACAAGCCAATGATTCTGACGTGGCGCGGGCGAAGGCTCTGCTCGCTCTGCTCGGTGATCCGTTTCCAGGTCCAGTGATTCCAAGTCCAACGGCCGAGAAGGAATCGGCCCTGCCGAGGTAGCCTGCCTCCAGGGGACGGACATGCTCTCGCCTCTCGAGTCGCTCATGCTGCCAGGTGTATGACTCTCACCGGATCCACCCGCTATGCGTGTTACTGCTCTGTAACCTGAAATTGGTCGCTGCTGCGGCCGGTGTGTTCCCCAAAGAGTGTGCTAGCACTCTGAGATTCTTGCGCTGAAGGTTATCTATGGTGCGGGTCGGGCCCCGTATTGCACAGGATGCTTGCACCTCGCGTCGCGATGGACCCGTGCCCCGGAGTTAGGATTCATTGTCAATAATACGACATAGATTACTTCTTGCACTCGACAGCCTTGAATCACAGCAGTGTTGGGAGGCAACTTAGGGTGTTCCTCTGGATCTCGCAAGCTAAGAAGGGGAAGCATAAGCCGGCTGCTCCCGAAACGCGCCAGTGCTTGGGGCGGAAATCAATTTAGCAGTCTCCTGGCGCGAGGCACTCGTGTCTCCTGGTGGTGTCCTGGTCGTCGTAATTGTCATGGTCGCTGGGTTGGTCTTCAGTGTTTGCGGCTCTCCATGATTTTGTTCTCAGTGCCACGAATATCAATCCCGTGGTTATTGCTTTGTGGTGGTAGTGCTGTTTCTTGCTTGAGAACCACACTCGCAGCCTTGTCATTGCGAGTGCTGTTCCTGCTGTTTAGCTTTGTAGCTACTGATCTTATTAAGAATCTTACTGTCGGAATTCTACATTCTACTCATCGTAGAGGTCTTAACGCACATTGTTGTGTTGCTGCAGTGCTGAATTTGTCGGCCTCTCTACAAACTTCCGGGCTTCTTTCGGCCTCGCCGGACCTGGCTTTTGGCGGAACCCCAGCCGAAGACGCTCGGCCTCGGACGACCTGCAGTGCGAAGTTTTCAGGCAAGGGGACGCAATGAGCGTAGGCACTTAATCTGAGGGAAATTTCATGGCGGATCCTTTCCGGCGCTGCCGTCATGTCACATCATGAATAGCACCAGCAGTCTGCAAGAGCACTGCAGAGTAAACTGTCGCTAGCTGCAGGTCAGCACCCACAAACCAATACCTGCTAGCAAGCAGCACTGTCAGCCGCTTTAGCGTGTCGATGCGGCCCTGGACATCCCCAGCACCATGATCAACTCGACTCGGTGTGCGAGTCATGGACGAGCGGAAGCGTGCTTAGTTTCCTGGTGCTGGCCTAATCACTGTTATCCCGAAGCATCCCTAGGCTTTGCTAGCCTCATGCTTTGCCCAAAGCTGGCCAGGCACACAGTAGGGTGTTGTGGGAAGTATCTTACAAAAATCAACTCAGTTCTGCCACTGCGGCGAAGAATTTTGTGCACCACATCTTTGAGGGATATGTTGTTACTGTATTGGCGGCAGCTCTCTGAATCGCGGAGCCTTTGGGCTACACGTGCGCCAGACATCAAGCAAAGATGGCAGTAGAAGTCAAAGAGGACGTGCAGTGCGTCCGACAGAGATCATTGTCTGAGCTTCGAACATGCACCTTGTAACGAAAGCTCCGGCAATGGTCAAGTCACCGTCGTGGCCGTAGACCGTTTTTCTGTACTGAGTCGCCGGAACTATCTTCGTCGTCTTCAATTGAAAAACTTAGGCGGTGTCGTTGAAAGGTGCCGACAAGCGAACAGATTCAGGTGCCCTGCCTGCAAGACGACATGCTCAAAGACTCGGCGTTTCCCTGGGTTTCCCTCGGCATCTTGCCACAACACACAACCTCTTGTGCAAATGCCACCTGCTTCCAGAGTGTGCAAGTGCATTCAGTATTGGTAGAGGGGCAGACTCCAGCCGACCAAATTGATGGCACATGCCTTGGACAATCTTGTCGAAAAGTGCTAGCTTTATGCGGGCAGTCTGTACGGGAGGCCCTCTCCTCGTCGTCTGGCTTTGAGTTCTTGATATAAAAGGTGCAAGGCATGTGCAGAATGCGGGTCCGGCGTGCTGAAGGCATGGCCTGCCCCGAATTCAGGAAGACTCTGCTGCCGGGCTAACTGGTGCACTGTACCAACAAATCTTGAGTTGACCTTCAACCCAACTCTTCCGGCACTGCGATGCACTGTCAGGAGGGACTCTTGAGAAGAAAGGAGAGCCTCCATGTTGCATGGCCTGGCCACACGCCTGTGGTGTCACATGCTTTGGCAATCGCACATGCAAGAAAATGTCGCAACGCCAGACTTGTGCCCGTGCCAAGCTCGGCCAGCCGACCACATGCACAAAGATCTCGACCACGTTCAAACCGGATCTTGCTGCAGGACCGTAAGAGAAACCTGTCTGTACAAAGGCGCAGTGCCACGAGGCACACGATCCTGAGACTTGCCATGTCACGGAACCGTTGCTTCAATTTGCTGCCTAGCTTATGCTGAAAGTTGAACCCAATTCTCAGAGAAGCGGCCTACCTTCCCCATGCTGTAGCACTGTAGCAAGCTCAAGCTTGCGGGCGATGCTCTTGTCGAATTCATCTCCGCAGAAAGTAATTCAAAGCAAACAGTTGTGGAACACTTTGGTCTTACGCATGCAGGCGCAGTTCATGAGACCGGACCGCCGGACCGCGGTGGGAGCGTGGGCTGCATGTGCTGCTACTTCCAGTCTGGCCGAGGCAGTGCTAGTTGCATCCTAGGTGACAAAAGCAACGGAAACAGCAAATTCAACGTCAAACTGAACCTCCTGCACGATCACAGAACTAAGCCAAGCTCATCATCGTTTTCATCTTCTCGAGCCTGGAAGCATCAGGCGGTCGGATAAAGTCATCTTACGGACCATACTGTGCCATACTGTTTCTCTTGTTTGCGAGCGCCGACCCCCAAACTTCGACTCATCCGGCAGTCCTGTGCCCTGCACGATCTTAACCGGGAGCTTCTTGTTACAACCATGTCAGCCCTCTACCACATCCTGACACAAAAAAATGGGACGTCCTCGAAGGCCCGCTATGTGGAATTCTTGCACAGCGTCCCAGAGTTTCAGGCAATGGGCGGGGATTGGCAAAGCCCTGAACAGCAAGATTCTTGTTGCCAGACACTGAAGTAAGGCGCCCATAATGGAAAGAAATCTCATGTGCCCACTTTTACGGTTGTGTCTTGCCAGTGGGCATACAGTAGCCGTCGTTCTCCTCTCGCAGGAACGCAACAAGTGATCTATATTGATCTATCCTTCCAGCCAACATCCGTTGCATGCTTTGCTGGCAACACCGTGCTAGCGTCCTCCAACTAACGAAAATGAAAGCCTTTCCCACCAATGGACCAGAGACCACAAGTCAAAGCAAAGCGATGTCAACGATACTCACTTCATGGGCTCTCTGAGTCGAGGCGGCGACATTCAAGTTCGGAAACGATGCCATCATGACGTTCAATGGTGAGAGGTAAAGACTGCTCCGGGAAGCCCGCAGGATGGCTCAACATAAGCAACCGACATGCTTGACTCACCTTTCTGCGGCTCGAGCAACTTGTCGGAGCGATCGAGCAAAGACTCCCACTCTTCATCGGATAGCGGCCTCAGCCGTGTAAGTCTCAGCTTGGCTCCGTATGGTTCAGTAGCTCCAGGAAGATGCATATACAGACTCAGAAACACACTGCTTACAGTAAAGAGCAAGTGACATGTCGGTGATCGGATTTGACTGCTGTGCTCGTTCCTGCCAGACTGTCCAAAGGAGGTCAGAACAGAAGCGGGGACAAAGAAGTAAAGAAGCGGGACAGAACCAGCAGACGTGCCAGCTAGAGCAGGAAACTGGCCACGTCCTCCATGTAGTTGATGAAGAGAACCTAGAGCGGATGTGAGCCGGGCTATGCAGAGCTGCAACAACTGCAAAACTCCCGATTGAGGATTTCAAGCGAGCACCGCGTGCTCAGGCAACGGCAGCCAACTTCCGCAAGATCGCGACCAGTGCGCCTCCGTGGCTCCTGATGTTCACAGAGCCACCAGGGGTCCAACGGGAGTGCAAGACAAGCCACGAGCAGCTACCTGTCACAAAGCACTTCAGGCCCAGAGTCTGGCAAACTCTGCTGAAGGCATCAGAGTCCAGAAGGTGAAAATCACAGGCCTCCGCCGAGGGGCTCTTGTGTAATTGCTCGTGGGCACATGGTAGGAACTGATGCAGCGCTCGCTAAGCTTACTCATTCCAGCTGACTTGCTGTGAATTGCTGTCTTGCTTTCAGTCTCTCGCTCTCATCCACACAAAAAATCATTAGGCCTTCTCGTGTAGGGTCTGGAGTTAGGGTTGTTAAGGCAGGCAGATTCAAGGCCAGGTTCGGTCTCCGCTCGTAGGCTGCCAGCATAGGACCAAACGCACCACAGCGACGCTTCCGAGATCCAGAGTCCCTTTTGCAGTCGCACGGGCTTGACCTGGGCTGAAGCGCCTCTGCCACCCGACAGCATACCGACGACTGACGAAATGCTAGGACTCCCGCAGCGCTGAGGTGTGTGAAGCGCGACAGCGCCCGAGGCCTGACTTTTGTTTCTGGCGTGTCCCGAGAGCGCAGTATCGGCCACTCACAATACCGCAGGAGTGACTAGTGCGTTGTTCAGAAGCACCGCTGCGATCAAGTACTGTGCCACTTTGGATATCCTACGCAAGTGCACATTGCCACGAGAGCAGTATTCAGTATCTCACTCCAAGAAGATGTTCTCTTGGACCTGCGCAGTTTCGGTAAAGCTTCGTGAAAAAAACACAAGCCAAGTAACTGATAGATCATTTCGCCACGGTGTACAATGAGGACGCCTCAGGCAATTACAGCTTCCCGATGCTGCATTGCCATGCTGTTCGCAGGAAAAAATCCTTGCGCACCTTTCGTTTTGGCTGTGCTTGCAGTTGCTTGTAATCCTGCCTGGTGCTGCAGCCCCTTCGATGAAGATGTCGATCTCCGGTGGGCAGTAATGCTCCTGGCGTCAAAAGACCGGGATTATATGGTTGGAGCAATGCACCCACGCTTCAGCTGGAGGATGCAAGCCGGGGCCTTGAACGCGCGGCTGCAGGTCTTTGACAGCAAGCGATAGTCCACTTTCATAACGCGGCCTCATGCTTGCGACAGTCCAACTCGAGGACCTAGCTCACGAGCACAGACCATCAAATGCCAACGAAATCGAGCAGACAAACAGAGAGACAGAACGCGCCAGAGACTGACAAACACACGGACAGACAAACAGACAACCAGCCAGACACAGAGACAGACACACAGAGATCAGGCGAGCGCAAGACTTGTGGACAAACGAAAGGAAATTCTGTGAAATTATGTCGCCCGGGCTGCTGGATGACATCCGCTCAGCACACTTCACTGAGACTGTAACTGCCATGCTATGCAGGGAAAGAGTGGGGAGCCGTGTCAGCCAGAAGCATGTCCGGCGCGATGCGATGATCATGTAATTGGTCTCTCTTGCTGTCGGTCTTTGTGTGTGTGTGTGTGCTAAGCGTCTGTCAACGCCTGTGCGTGTCTCTTTGTCTGCGCGTCTGTACATAGGTCTCAGCGCCTTCGCATTTACCGAGCATTGCAAAGCTGCAATTCTTGCCTTCCAAATGCAGTGCTGAGCAGCTGAACAGGCCGGAAGTCTTGAAGGCAGGTAAGAATATCTCGCTGTGCAAGTGAATCTTCAAGCTTTCCTTCGTTCGAGCGCAATCGAATTAGCTACATGGAGGGGTGACCTTGCCAGGACCTCGAATCATAAAGCAGTCAAGACAAGGGACTGGCAGGCTTGCCAGAAAGGATATGCTCTCAAGCGGCGTCTTCGCCTTCTGCTTCTGACTGACCCTGGGTTTGCTTCTGGTCAGGTCAGAAAGAAGCATCATCGGCAACACACATACTGAAGATCTGCAACCCTTGCAAGGGGCAGTAGAAGAAGATAAGTTGCTTGCCAAGTGTCTTGAAGAAGTTGGTAATGCGAACTCCCAGCTGGGTAGAGATCTTCCGCGACTTCAGGAAATGCCGCAGCACTGCATCCAGCTCGATAGTCTTGGAGTTCCAGGTGCGGATCTGGTTCATTTGATTGGTGATGCTGCTGACGAAAGAGGAAAACACCTTGATTGTAGCGGGCAGGGTGATCACATCGTTGGGTGGGTGCCCAGTGGTATTATACTGAAACTGGGGCACTGTGTGAGACAGGGAGAGTGGTAGGATTACATCTACATCACCCGCTTTATGATGCCGTGGGCCGTCCCAAGCACTAAAGCATCCTTGAGATTCATAGCGAACAGTATGGCTGGACGAAAAGGCGCCCTGCAAAACCAAGAAACATTTCGAACAGTTCGTCGCTCAATGCCGAGATGCGATCAAGGCAAAAATCACCACACCTGCTGCGAAGACGCGCTCGCCGATGTTGGACGGCCCAATATCCTCCAAGCGCATATACGAGAAGGTTTGTACATGGAAAGACGTTGACAGACACTGATAATGGAGGAAGACGCAGCGTGAGTGTTGCAGGGTCTGCCGTCTGCCCTGTCAGCAGTGCACTCCAACCCTGCATCTCAGTTTCGAAACTCCTGGGTGGATGGCGTGAACTGTGTCAAGCTCCAGTGTAAAGACAAAGCCTGCGGAAAACCAGCTTCATGCACTCTTTGCACGGCTTAAACGAGTCAGGAATCTTGACTGGAACTCTTGCCCACGTGCCGAAGACGGGCTTGGTTCACATCAGTGCGTGCAGCAGCTGGAGTCGAGATGCATAGAGCTCACGGAAGTCATCTGGAGATTTCACGTGGCCGTCTGCCCATGTAGGGCTGCCGTCACCTCGGACTAGTGTAGTCAGTCCAAATCGCACCATGCAGTCCCAATCTTTGAGCCAATGCGCAAAGCTCTCGAAGTCAAAGCAAGTGTCCTCATCCAACCGAAACAGCTCGCAGCCGCAAATCAAGCTTGCAGCTTGCATGTGAAACCACGGCAAGATCCATCCAAAACACTCGAACACTTAACCAGATTGATACGCGCAAAAAAGCAATGGCTGATTCAGAGATGTGGCTAAAATAGGCCATCGCACACCAAGCCTGGGCGCAAGGTTCAGCCAGCTTGAAGACAGTCCCCTACCAGCAGTGTCGGATCACAGGCTAGCTGAATTGCTGGAACGTCGGGCTGGGGCTCCAGGTGCGCGAGGTCCAGTGCACGCTGGTCCATGCAAAATCGCCACAGAGAAAAGACGTGGCTTAGCTTTTCTGATTGTGGCAACGGGGGACGGAACCGCTCGAGCGAGGCGTGCAAAGAAGTCTATAAGCCGCACAAGCAGCGTCTGTCTCTCTGCAGCCATGCCAACTTGGGCGAAACGATGTGGAACAATGGCCACTTAGCCGAGATGCGCAGGCGATGTAGTGATTCACCTGATGCCAGTGAATGTGCAGGATCTCACCAAACTGCCGACAGCTACCACGAACCGCGGCCATGCTGCAAAGAGAATGAACAAGATCAGCTTGGCCAGGCCAATCCTGACTTGCGCTGGTGTCAGGACAGGACACAGTACGATTTCTGTCCTTCTTGAGATAGACGGCCTCACATTGCCTGACTTGCCTTCGTTCAATGAGGTTGCAGCTTGGGCTCAACACCACGATCAGTGGAGAACGCACGTAGTCGACCAATGACTCGACCGTAGCCTGAAGCTGGGCATAGGGCATAGGGATTTGCCGGAGCATGGAGAACTGAATTCTGAATGCCACAAACACATCTGCTCGAGGGTTCCCCTCAGGCCGAGCCGCTGAAGCTTTGTAGAGCCGCACCAGCCGCACCAATCGAGAGAGACGAATGAGCCGCGAGACGCGAAGACCCCTGGTTCGCGAGTTTTGAGCTAAGCTTTTCCTTGTGGTGCTACCAGAGCGGGGCACAGCAGTCATGTAGGTGACCGCTTCGCATTGCAACAGCACCGGAGAGATCAGCACGAAAGCTGCTTGTAGTGGCACGGACCACGGCTCTAGGCCCATGGACGGGAGGACAGGTTTGCTGACGTGGTGACTGCAGCTCATGCTTTCCAACTGTGACTGTTCGGACCCCCTGCTGAGGCGGTGAGTGACGCACACCACCTTACAGAGCCAAGCGGCTGGGTCCCAGCTGCAGCCGCAACACTGTTGGCGCCAACCTGCTCTTGCACGACTGGCTGGACAGGCTCAGATGCTCTGATTTCAGCTAAGACTCGATGGACACAATCCCATCTCCTCGCTATGCACATGACCGATTGCAAGCTTGCGAGTTCCTTGAACCACTGCGAGAGTCTCGAGACAAGATTCCCAAAACCATGAGCACGTCGGGCAAACACCAGCCCCTGGCATCTTTGAGACAAGGTACAGCGACCTTTCCCTCTGGGGGTGTGGGACATGATGACCAAAAAATGGATGTATGACGTTAGCAAGGCTGACAGATTCGAAGCCCACACTGTCTGTCTTCCCCGGCACACTGGGCTCCTTGTCGCATTGATTTAGGACTGCAGGACACTGCATCTGTCTAACCTCTCCTCCACCTGTCTGTGCCTATAGCAGAAGCGGACTCTACAACTCACAGAAAACACGAATCACTGCTGCTTCTGCCACTGTACTGCTTTGATGCCTTTGTAATGTAGTCCTCAAGCCTTGAGGCCTCGTGTAGTCCCGAATGCACGAGCGCGGCCGGAAGTCCAGGAGGCCGTCGCTGTCGACAGCGGTGAAGCAGCTGACCGGAATATCCGCTAGCCTTGAAGCTTCCACATAACCGCAGGCGATGTACACAGTGCTTGTGTGTGTGTGTGCTTGTGCCTGTGCAGTTTGCATATTGCTTGACACTGCGTTTTTGCATGCTCTACGTTGGAGTGTCGCGTCGCAGAATCTTTTTACGGGTGCCGGAAGCAAAACAGTTTAGGGGCGCCCAAAGCTACAATGCTAGTGGAAGAGGATCAACCAGAAAAATATGGTCGCTGTGTTGACGGCGTCGAGCGTAGCTGAGAAGGCCCCGAGGTCAAACAGCTGCAGCGGGATCGTCACAGCATCCCAAAGCACTGCCAGCAGTAGGATGATGCTCCACGAAAACCTTCGTGGAATTCGCTTCCAATTCAGGACTGGCTGAAGATTTCAGACCTGACTGCAGCCGAAGAGCTTCGGCCAGCCATACGGGTGTAGGACCAAACATGCCAGGCAAGCACTGCAGCCGGTGCTTGTTTTGACAATCACCTGCAGTGTTTGCTCTTCTCAAGGACCTTGGTAAAAGTGCCTGTGCCACACCTCGTGCAAGTCGGGATTGGAGTCGCCCTTCTCCTTGCCGAGGATGCCATTGAAGTCGATGGAGCCTACACAGCGCCAGAAAAGATGGACACAAAGTCGTCTCCCGCGGAGGCACACGACATGCAACACAAACAGAGGCGTTTCCGAAGCGTTCCCACCTTGTTTCGAGTATGCCTCAGAACTGAGAGCAACACAATTACTCAGGCAGTTATATAACCGGTATGCATCGATTGACGTTCAGCTGCAATGAAGGTTCTCTACTCTGCTGCATAGCTGCGGAATGCTGCGGGCATACTGTCACAAGAAGCACCGACCAGTTCTAGCTATCCAAGTTACGTCCCACAGCGTTGACTCACCCTGGAGTCGCCAAGTCACCCTGACATCCAAGAGCTCGTCTGGCTGTCCGAAACATACATGCAGTGGCTGCAGTGGCTGCATTGTTCTTCCAGTTTGCCGCTCTGCGAGTGCGAATGAGGCCGGGGCCTCATTCGCGACTGTCTCCCCGTGCAGCTGCGCGGACTTTGAGGCTCTTCTGCTTCCCATCCTTAAGCGGCTGAGAGGCCAGCAGCTGCCAACACGGGCACAACAAGCAGCAGCACCAAATGCGAAGACTCCCACAAATACGAGAAAGGCGAAGGGCTGGCTCGGAGCTTTTCGACAATATTCTGCCATCGGGACAGTGCCCACTCGGGCAAAGCATCTTCCTCTGTTGGGTCCTGGGAAGCAGTGGCAGAAGCAGAGGATATCTCCAGCCCTTCCAATCTGCAGGCAGGGCTCAGACATGTCCTCCAATAGTGGAGGGGGCATTGCGGGCGCAAGATGGGCATCCTGAAGTGGCACCAGCCCACTGCCGCTGTGGCTCACAAGCCTGTTCTTTGCTGCTGCAACTCCTCTGCGGCAGCCGTGGTTGGTGTGGCCAAGGCCCGCAGCTGGCAGAAGGTCCTTGCAGAAGCTTTTCTCCACAGCCCTCGAAACATGACAGGGGTTACAGGGTTCGCTGTCTTGCGTCGGTGTGTCGTGGTCCCCTATCGAAAACGACTCGAATGCTTCAGTGGCATCTCCCAGTACGCGGTTTAATATTAGGCACACTGTGACAACACGGCCTGTCGAACGTCTGACTTCGTGCCAAGAGTCTGTTCAATTTCGCTTTCCCCGCTTTGTTTCCGTGTGGAGGGCGAGACAAGTGTCAGCGACTCCTCAGTTGACATCAGACACGGCGACCTGTCAGCTGTTGGCATCAGTGCACCCACCTTGTCACTGCTTGTGGGTTCTGGTCGCAATTTTTCCTTAAATCATGTTACTCTGCTATTCCGGAACCTTCTGGCTTGAAGGATAAAGCTGTGACCGGAAGCTTTTCAATCGGTGCGATGGACGCCAGTCCGTCTTTTAGAAATTCGGAGCCTGAATAGTGGACGGTGCCTTCAAGTCGAATGCCAAGCTGCCACTCAAGGGATTCAATCAACAACATGCACCAAGATACATGGGCGCTCAGCAGGCGCGAGTGCAGTTGTGCCAGCTCTTTCGACAAGAAGGCCTGCCAGATGCAAGCTGCTGCAAGCTACATAGCACGAACCACGCAACTTCGTCGCTTCGTACAGAGCGCCTCAAAGTCCTCGATCCTGGAGACCTCGGAGCCTTTGGCTTCTGCCACAAGCTCCGGCGCCATGGTGGAACCCCTCCCAACAGTCAGGCAAGAACTGACGGCGGCGGCAGGGTCGCTGGAACTTCGAAGTGGATCGTCCCGAAATCCGAAGCATCTGCCAGCATCTGCAGTGAAACTGTTGCCCAGGGCCTGGTGACTTAGTAGTTCTGAGGATCCAGTTACTTCTTCTAGTCTTGGGCCTTCTTGGGTTTAGGGCCCTCAAAGAGCTCCTGAATGGTGTGGCGTAGATGCACGAAGCAACGGCTTTCAAGCTTGCTGATTCGAATAGTCATGTGCTGATGCCTCCTCGTCTTGCGTGGGCAAAACTGAGCCACGGCCAAGCCCAGCTACTTGCCTCCCTACGACTGGCTCGCAGAGCGGGCAGGCTGGAACTGGCATTGGGCCTGGGCTCATCACCAGTATACAAGCCGAGAGCGAAAACTGGGTTTCGGCAGTCCCTCATTGAGAGCATGCCTGTCTTAGACAACTTGCCCCCTTCCGACCGCCAGCACTGCAGTTGAGTATCCGAATGCAGCAGTCTTATTTGACTTTCTGCTTTTGTGGCCGGCGGGTTGTTGCTACACTGTCCGGCAGCATTCACGCATCTTCCATCTGAACGTCCGCCTCACGAAGCGAGTGTCACGGAGCTACTGCACCGAGCCGAAACACGTGGCACTCGCAAGGCCTCTGCTGGTGCGGAGGGCTCCCGACCTGCGATGTCTTGCAACTTTGACTAGCGGAAGTCACCTTTGCCACTCGTGATGCTACCGGAGGGAAGCTTGCAGACACGTTGCTGGCATAGGAAGGCGCCGAGACACGCTCGACCTTGTTCAATTAGGTGGCTTCATGTTGCCATCACCCTTCTCTCAGCCTTTCGGAGCAGAATGTCTTGGGGAGCCAGCATTTCTGGCTTGTGGCCTGCCCTTGCTGTTGATCTGGCGGGGCGTAGCAAACGCAGCCTAACTAATCCGAAGCTCCCACTCATGACTGAACCTCAAGTTCTCAAGGCCTCCACAGAAAAGGTCACCAGATGCATTCTCTGGAGATTGGCTTCCTCCAATTGAAGCTTGGCCAAGGATTATTTTAACAGGCTCGCACATTGTAGGGCCAGAATCCGACCAACAAGCTCTTGGAACTCAGCCAACATCACTCAAGTACGGGTATGGAGAGCTCTCGGAACAAATGTTCCATTGGCTTTGCCTCGGTTAGTTTTCTTGGCTTGTGTGGGTCCGTGATTCTCTGTGGATCTATGCCACGCCTGGAAGCAAGGCCGCTCGGTCAGCGTCTCCAGTCGCAACAGAAACCCGCAGCACTAAAGCAGTTCTCGCCCTGCATCACCTACGTCAAGGCTGAAGAACACAAGGTACGGCAGTGTCCTCAGCTTGGTTCTTGTGCAGGAAGACATCGCCTCAATCACGGGAGCCCAAATGTGGCGAAGATTCGCAGCTTCGTGCCTGTAGTGCCTGCGTGGATTCGTTTCGGGGACCAGCCCGCAGCTCGTGAACATCTATCGCTGCTACAAGGCGCGACCTGACTCATTGCCTAGGCTGTGGAAAAGAGCCTTTTCAAAATTTCAGCTGCCCGGCAGTGCCACCAGCAATTGACCAGCAAGATCAATAGCACAAGCAATGTGGTGTGTTCGCGAACATCTGCGATGTCAGCGGGCTGTATCTGGATGTAGGTGAAAGCAGGTACTTCTCGCTCTTCCATGTCAGCGCCGCGAATGGTTTGCCCGTGCAGTCCATGCACATCATACCATTAAATCTGTTTCGAAAACTCGACATGAAGCTGGCATGTGTCCTGAGTCTCGTGCTCTGGAAAATGCCTCTGGTCTCCTCGCAGGCCTTGGGTGGGCAAGCCGGCCATTTCTGCTGGTGTGCGCAGGCTGGCTTAGCATTTTGCACCGTGTGCCAGCAATCTGGTTCGGGCTGTTGTCACTTGCGCAAGTTGTGCGCGTGTAGGGCTGTGCTACTTCAACAGGCACGCCAAGCTGCACTGTGCACGATCAGTCGTCGCGGCTTCACGGCTTGTGCTTCAAGGATGTCATCCGCTCTTGGCCAGCTCATAAACACGCAAGCGTTAGACAAGAGGCGATGAAGCCGTAGCCCTTCGCAGGCCAGTACTTGTCCACACGGCCAACCTCACAGAAAGCCCAACATGGCAGAGGTAGAAGCAGCATCGTTGGAAGACAGACATTGAGCCGGCATCTCCTTTTGCACTATCGAGTGGGTCTTACTTGCATAGCTCGCTGACCAAACCTACACGTCGGTGCTAGATGTCGGGGACTTAAGCCGACAACATACGTCTTGTTGCCATCCACCCAAGACCTCAGCAGAGCAAGAAGGTCGATGATGGCAGAAGCTTGAGGCAGTTTGCCTTCATCCAGCAGGATCTAGCAACCTTAACGCAAACGCCTAGGAGTGAGGAGGTGACCCTGTGTCAGCGGATTCGCCGACAAAACGGGCAACCTCGTGGAAATCACGAAATCCTGCTATCCTCCCCGGCTTGCATGCAATCGCTCCATGTATGACAAGAAAAAACAGGCAGGCCGGGTGCGCAGCGTTTCTGGCCTGGGGCTTTTTCGCCTGTGCATTGCGCACTGCCTTGGTGCCTTGCCGCCCTGAATTTGTCGTCAGTACCTTGCCTTGTTCATGCCGACTAAGAACTTGACCTTGTCTCCTGAAAGGCGCAAGTCAAATCGCAGAATGGCAAAGCTGACCAAAACACACAGACCCGGTCTTGCATTTCCGCATGCCATCACTGCCCCGGCCTGGAAAAGCTCTCTTCCTCAGAGCGAATGTCGTGACTTGGTCCAACTTTAGCTTTGACCAAGGCCGGGGCCCCAAGTGCTGGTCCACCTAACAAAGGAGCTTCGCATTGAGCCAGAGAACTCTTCGCAAGCACGTCCCCACCTGGTTCTTGTGCAGGAACACATCCGCCTCGCAGCTGTGCGTGACAGAGTTTCACTGCGCATTTCCGTCGTCTCCGACCTGGTGCAACTCAAAGAGCTCCGGGCACTCGATGAACCCGAAGCCTGGCCAAGGTTTGCCTTCCACATGTGCCTGCCATAACCAAAAAGGCCTTGCTCTGGAAAGTACGACTTGATGGTGCCGACCTGAATAAAGGCTGCAAGCCACAATCTACAAGGTTCTGTGCGATGTCGGCGGGGCACAGGCATACCAGTCTTGCCCGATGGGCTCTTCCTGCAAATCTCCGTGCGAGAGGTGGGTTCAAGACCAGATACGGATTTGCCGGGAGTCTTCCAACATTGGACACTGCAGCTGCTAGTCGATCTGTCATAAACAGCACAGCTTGATCTTGTGCTTGCTGGCAGGCAGCCTGGAACCTTGCCGTGCGAAATGATACAGACAAAGCGGCTAGCATGCTCCAAATCGCGAGGAGCAGAACTCAGGCTGCCAGATAACATGATACCGCGACATGTTATGACTGCTTTTTTGGTTTAATTCGCTACAAGCGTGTTCATGATGATGCTGCTGACGGTCAAGATAATGACAATGATAATGGTAATGATGATTGATGAGGGGAAGACGAGGTCCTGATCAGGGTCGTCATCAACACCGCCACCAGCAACATCGCTGTCACTGTCTTCATTCTGTCGGTCCGGTCCTGCTCCTTTGGTGCCTGTCGCGGGCTCCTGTTGGCCTGACAGCCCGGGTAGTGCGCATCGCTGTAAGTGAAGGATGAAAAGACGACTCAGAAGCAATCAGGCCTGGGGCGTTTTGCTTGTCGTGAGTCGCTCGAATGTAGAGCCTTAGGGCTGTTTTGATCAAGATATCAAACGGCTGCCTTAGCTACAGCTAGAGCGATAGCTGCCAGCTCTTGCCAGGGAGGTTCCACATGCTTCTCAGTTGGGCCTACCCGGGCGCCTGGCCATCTTCACCGATCAGTGTCGCTCGCAACGCTGTTGCCTGCACAACGGATGTGTCCGCTCTGCCACACGCGCTGGGTCTGGAAACTCCTGTTTGCTGCCATGGACTCGTGACGGTGGTATGGCCCTGCTGGTACAAATGAAGCAAGATTAGACCCTGTTGTAGCGCTTTCTTCAGTTTGGGGGCCTTTCGATTGAGTTGACAGCTCTCAGGGGAAGCTTGAGCATCATCTGCCCTGTGCTGCATCACACTCACTGGAAACGGTGCCGGACTTATTGTATGCTTCAACCTACACAGAATTCATTCAGCGCCTCACCTCTGATGTGTCCCGCATATAGGCCTTAACTTTCCGTCTTCCCACCCTCCGATCCTCGAAAACCCCCGAACAAGAAAAGGCAGCGACAGCGACAGTTGACTCGTCACAGAAGGGCAAACCAACTCCGTCAGGAGGGAACACTCGAAAGGACGGCCTTCCGTCCTTTACATGCCCTCCTAAATCTTAGTCAGTTTTCATTCTTCGGGCAACATACGAGAAAGGCTGTTGGCTGAGCCAGGGCCTGTGGCGACTGTGGCGGCCGCAACGTGAAGGCAGTGCCTGTGCGGCAGTCCACCAAGAGCCGGGAAACCCGTCTTCGACTTTCCATAGCCCTTGCACGGCCTACGAGCTCTGCCAGCTGCCAGGCACAAACGAAGCTGGCCAGCTTCAATGCCTCCCGCTGCGCGCAAGAAATGAGGGCTAAGCAAGAAAGCTGGGAAGCTTCAGACTTTCAGAATCGGTGCTTCGGGCCTTTCCGAGCCGAGAAGATGAAGCCATTGCAGGCAGGCAAACGGATCTCTGGGCCTGGTTGTTTACAGTGCAAGGTGTCACAGTCACAAGCCTGGTTGTGTTCCCAAACTGCCACATGCTTTTGCTTAGGGGGCCCTAAGCGAAAAGCTTAGCTGCTTAGCTTAGCCTTTCTCATAAGCCCTCGGAGAAGCCCTCAGTCGAAAACATGACAATCAGACCTTGTGGAGGCGGCCGTGAAAGATGCAGCGAAGGCTCACCGTCGCAGTTTGCACAGCTTGCTTTTCCTCTTTCCGCATTTCCCTGCCGCTGGAAACCTTCTGAACTGCTTCGATTTGGCTTCGGAAGCTCTCGCGATGCGAATGGACCGCGCTATATCGTTCTAGCATGCAGCCCTGACGAAGCAATCCATCCTCATCAACTTACGAAAAAGGGTTGCCGGAATGAATGACACCGAACACGAGAGACGGCAAAAGCTTGTTCTGCAGACGTCTGCAAAGTCGAAGGAAGTTCTCGTAAGCTCCCGTGAGGTGACATGTCTGTATAAAATATGGCCTTCCCGGAATGAGGACGTAAGTCCCTCTCGATGCGACTGCAACACAGCTCTGTGAGCACAGGGGAAGCCAGCTGAGAGGGTGCAACAAATCTTGTCTAATCCCCACGACATGGAGGTTTGCAGGGCAAGTGGTTCAAGAATCAGATCGGGTCGAGGCCCAGGCAGCTCAGGCTTGGCGATTTTGGCGCTTGCCCTGTGCAATGGAACATGCCTCTCTTGTAGAGGCTTTCGTCCTTGGCAGCGTCATCAGCTTGCCTACTGAACCTCCTTTGTTGTACCGGAGAGGGTCAGAAAAAGGTAGATCTACTTTCTATGCTTACTTGATAGAACAGGTGGGACTCCAGAATGTCAAGACCCCCGAAGAGTGATTCCAATTTTCTGATCCTGTTTTTGATTGGTCGGAGTGGGCAGTGGCCACACCCTGCCCGGCTGTGCCACGCACGGTGCAAGACCCTCACATCAAACCGAAGTGGTTTGAATTATGCAGGCTTTACGCAGCCGTTGAACCGGGCTGCCTTCACCTGCACTCGTGGGATGGACCACGACCTTCTGTTACTTGCATTAGCGCTCACTTGCATGACCCAGCTACGAATTTGTGTCGCAGCAAGGACGGGCATCCTGGCTTCAGCCCCTTGGCTGTGATGAAAAATCGCGCTCGTGTCGGGGAATCTTCAGGTCTCACCACCAGCTGCAGAGGCCAGCTTAGCAGCGATGCCCGTGCACTAATTCGGGCAGTCTGGAGCCCAGTGTCGAAGTTCTGTAGATCTAAGTTTCTGAGCTCTCCGTTCATGCAGGGGCAATTCCAGCTGCATTTCAACCCAGTGCAGGCCCCTTGCCAGCAACAAAGCCAGGAGCCAGTCCACATGCTGCAGTTAGCAGAAGCAGATTTCACATGCGCATTGGACATAAATCTGCTCTCGTGCTCATCCTGGATGTGGCTTGCTTGCTCAAAGGCTCCGTGTCGCAATTTAAGCGGCCGCAATAGCCTGCGAAGCAAACGACAGCAACACTCCACATGGAGTCCGGGCATGAAGGAGACGGTTTTAACTCTAGTTACTCTAGTTGGCTCCATCTGATTCATCGACGAAGCCTGGCCTCCACAGGAGGTTCTCAACGCCTAACTACTGAATTACTCATGGCTTGTGCGCACAACATGCACAACAGCCTCGCCATTGCTCGGGCACATGCATGCGAACAGCACAACTCCAAGCCAGCACTTCATCAGACGCTTCAAAAGCGGGCGGTTCGAGTTGTGTGTGTGTGAGCACGTTGCCACCTAAACCAAATGCTGTAGATGCTGGCTCATGGAAAACAAATTAAGCATAGCGGTCTTCCGCTTCTTCTGTGGCCAGGCGCCTTTGACTTTTGCATGGGCCGGCCTCGAAACCTGCAGTGAACAGCTGGGAGTGCACTGCAAGTGCTGCAAACACGTGGGAGATGCAGCTCTCTTGTAGCTGCCGACAGGTGGAGAAGCCTATTCCTGCAATAGAAACTCTGAACCTTCGTAAGCTGGTGGCGAGTCGCGCTGGAAGGTTTCATAATCATGGTATTGTCCTCACGAGACTGTTCACGACTCCGCTCTTCTGCCACAGGCCACGGAGGGTTGCGATGAGAGTCCCCACAGCCCCGCCTCTGCCGATTTGCGGCCTGTGCATTGGCGATAAAGCGTGAATTGAGGCCATGCTGAATTCACATTAAAGCACTGACATGTGAATGAAATACTGGTTCCAAGGAGACAGGCCCAGCCCAGGCCCTGTCCATCCCTCTCCACTCAGTCGCAGTCGGTCTCGGATGCCTCGAGGTCTGGTTCTGGAATGATGCTGACCTGCTCGACGGGTTAAGGCTCAAGTCAAGCTCCTGAGAAGGAGATTTCGTCACTGCTAGGAGTGACAAGAGAGCAACCATCTACAGAAAGAAAACACCAAGTCAAGACATCGCCGGCGCGAGCGGCCTCGGCGGCTCTCGCCAGCCAGGCCTCTGAAGGACGCTTCGAGTCCTGCCTGTGAGCATGCAGGGAACATGCTTGGTGACAGAACGTCTTTTGTTGCGACTGCTCCTGCCAGTTCCCTTGCCAACATCATCCTCTCTGATATAATGATAATTTGGCCAGCTGTGATTAGTATGCTTTTGGACGGCGGCGGTGACAACTACTGCTGCCATGCATCTGCATCGTTGTGGCGCTCTGGACATTACAGCGTTTGACGGACCGGCTGCCAAACTACATCCAAGCCAATCCCTAGCTTCGGGAGCCTTGGCACTTCGAGAGAGCACCGAAAAGGACATCGCCAGTCCTTCGAAGTCGCGGGTCCGAATCTGGTATTCGTCGAGGAGACGGCTAATGAGGCCATGCAAATGCCCGTTCAGCACCTGTCCTCGATGACCCACTTGTTTATGCAAGCCGTGTGGAAGCAGTGGCCACCTAGCTGTGCAGGCAGAACCCGGGCAATGTCCTACGAGTAGTTGCTGGGCAAAGCTGTTCGGTCCCCTGCCTCTCCCTTCCTGAGCCCATAGACCACATACCCATGGGCCCCATGCATCTATATATATATATTTATTTATTTCGTTTTTGTACATATGTAATATGATCCCGGTTCTCGGTTCACCGAGTTCCAGACACACCAAATCCCCGTCACTTCCTGACCCAAACACGCAGGGGTGACCCACCACAGGCAAACCCAAACCCACACCACGAAACAGGGGCAGAAGGGGGCAACCACCCCAAGCAGAAACCCACAACCACACCGCACCACAGGGGGAGAACCATTGGGGGGGAGAGGGGGGGCGGCTGCACCGGCATATTTTGTATATATATATATGTGTGTGTGTGTATGTATGTATGTATGTATGTATGCACATGTATGTATATATCCCAGACAGGGCACATGACGGGTGGTAGACGAGAACAATGCACGGCTGCTTTCTCGAAGCCCGACTCTCTGTCCCACCCTGCATCCCCAGAGGACCACAGGATGGCTGCGCATGCTTCATCCTCCCACTCAGCTTGTGAGTTGGCCATGCTGCGATCGTCAGCAGCCGGGTATTTGTGTGCAATGTCCCCTCGTGCGAACCAGCCCAAGCGCCCAAGACAGGGCTCTGCCTTCTGTCCGAACCATCATCTTTAATTTAGCTCAGAGCTGAAGCTTCTTGGCTGGGGTTGTCTTTGCTGCCCTCTCTTGCTTGCCTCGTCAGTCGGGTTTGCTTCAGTTGACCACGAAGTGCTTAGCTCTTTCTCAGCCCGTGCAAGTGCTGCATAACAGACACGACGTCGGCAAACCACCACCAGAACCAAAGCCAACTGCGCATCCAACTGCTGAGGCCAAAGTCCAGCAAGGCACATGGGAGCTTCGCGACGACCTCAGAGTCATCAAAATCCTGCGCGCGAATCACTTCTGCGTGACAAGGCAGATGCCTGAACTTACTGCTGCGTGGACATTCTGCAGCCCTGGCCTCAAGGCAGACTGTACCTGGCAAGGCTGCACGTAGCATTGTGGAGTCTGGGCATGTCGCAGTCTGTTGTAATACCTGATCATTCTCAATGCCTAGCTGTCGTAAAACTTGCCACCTTATACAGGACGGCACCGTCAGCCAGATTTAGCTGCGCTCATCCGCGAAGCGTGGCGGCTGCGCAAGATAAGGGCTCACTGCCAGATGCAGCACGCAAATCAGCTACCTTGTGCGAAGTGATGACCTGGCACCACTCAATTGAAAGTGAGGTTCGCATTGCAAGCATATCGGTGACACAGCTGGCATGTCATACAGGAACAATGGCCTTGGATTTGTACATCTTGCATAAGAGCTGGAGCTTGTACAAACCCACAAAATCTAGCCTCAGAGTCCAAGCCAGTTCTTGACCAGCAAGCAGGGCTGCACCGGGATCTTCCAGCACAACCATGGTGAAACGCTTCTTTCAACAGTCTGCCGTAAGCTTCCAGCCTCTCCTCATCCTGAGAATCGCGATAGTTCCGCACCTGGAGCCAAAGGAACTCTGGACCATGGCAGCGCATGCCGGAAGACTGCAACGACTGTGTTCTGGTGCCAGGTTGAAACTGATCTAAGCTCGGCGCGAAGTCTCGCCAGAAGGCCCAATTTGCTACCTAGAGGCACTTGTGGATTCGAAGCCCGTTTGAGGATGATCTTGTTCAGCATGACACGCTGAAGCTCAGATTCAACATCGACATGTAACCCGAGGTCCCCACAACAAAAATGCCAGAGGAGACCATGAGGAATCGCACGGCAAATGCCTCAGAAAGATTGTCCGCAAGCTCGTTACTCCGGAGGCGTTGTTGAACAGCGGTGCAGGGACCCGAAAATCGTGCTGCGTGAATCACTCTTCATTTTGTAACTTGCGCCTGCCCACTCATGACTGCATTTGCAAACCTGACTGCGCCTGCTTCGAATCGTAGTCGTAGCCTCAGAGCCAGCGAGTCGCCAGTCGTAAGTGTCATTGGTGCTGGCAGGTGGCATGTCTACCCCATGAAACTCACCCAATGCGAGCAAGCCCAAACCCGGTTTGCTTGCCACACTACTCTTTCATCAAGGCCGTGGCAGAACATCAGCAGCAGGACAATGGTGTGCCACACCATAAGAAGGCATGAAAAGCAGGTGAACATGGCCTTGGCCATGGATCTCAAAGCAGGTGCACGCTTGGCGTGCACCGTCCTTTCCAAGCAATGTGCAATGCAAGAGGGCAAACAACCGCTGCCAACTCCTGAGCCTGCTCTCTACATTGCCGCTTAGCACAGTTCGGGGGTCCGGCCACTGAGCAGGACCAATGGCTGCGTGTATGGAAGCACCTTCTACCAACTCGAAGTTCGAGATCCGGACGATTTGACTTTGGAAGTATGGTCGAGGCCCTACAACTATAGGCATTTCCTACGAACTTGAAAGACATGGGAGTAGGTTGCGGGCCGGGGCAAGACAAGTAAGGCAATGCGTCAAGGTAGTGACCAACCAGCGGACGCGAATGCTTTGGGGGCAGCTGGAATTCCAAATAAACACGATTGGGAGCATACTGCGTGTTCCATCAGGTTGCACTGCGGACTTTGCCCCACTCGAGGTTGGAACACCCGAACACGATGACGGTGCGAAGCCGAGAGGAAACCACATGTCATCTTTAGTCGCAGCATGTGATCAGGACCAGTCTGAACCACCATCCATCAGCTTTCCCGCTATCTGAACCAATTCGGCAAATGCGCCCCATTCGCCGCATCGCAGTAGAGAGGTCTGCGTGCTTGATCCGAAGGTAACCTGAGCTTCTTTGGTTTCGGCAAAACAGTTCCTAACTTCTTGCTGCAATGCGCTTGCTTGCGGCTAGCAGTATTATGCCGTCGACCTTGGGCTCGCAACTCAGCTTGGTCTGCGTCCACGCGCAATACCGGGTAAAGCGGCTACCCCAGGCCTTGCAATGTGGATCTGTAGCCGCCTCTGGCCACGTTGGACGGGGCTGGCTGATCAGTCTTTGCTTTGGGTGAAACGTGAGGATACTTCGGATTTCTTCGGTTTTGCATTCTGCAGATTCACCGGTAGCACAAGCAGCACCAGTACGGGTCGAGCACGCCTTCCCTTGCGAACAAGACTCTGAAGCACGGCTGCAAAGCACATGCATGTCCGTCTTTTAGAAGGACGACTGGAAAATCTCTCCGCATGCGCATTACAAGCAGAATCCCCAAGCCGTTGCAGGTGTACAGGCCTACGGCTTGCAGCATGGTAATGTGCTTCCGGTGAATACGCAGCACTGGCTTCATAGAAACAAACATGGGTGGGCTTGGGCATTCGTACGTGCAGTTTGTGCAGAAAATCAGAGAATCAAGTCGTTGCTGGCGCTCTTGGTACGGAACATGCAGAGTAGTTCTGCATGGCTGTCTCGCAGATGGCGCGCTGATACCTTAGCGGTGTGGGGTCCAGGAGGCAGAGCATTCCTGCCAGACAGCTACAGTGCTTGTGCAAAGGCTTGCGTGCGTCGTACTGATTCGTGTGCGGCTGTTCGCTACTATCACTACGAAATTTCAGTGCTCGGTCTACCTTTGCAATGCTTTGCGACGGCACACAGAACCATGCGTGCCACCTGCATTGCTTCTAGCACTCGGAAACAAGTCCGTCCGACTGCGGTATGTCGACATCCATACGGCTACGCGAGCAGAGAGACAGAGAGAGAGTGAGACAGAGAGAGCACTCCAGAAACACAGGAAAACTAAACAGGCAGAGCCTTTTGCATCCCGACCTCTCGCGCAGGCAGGGCTTACATTGCAAAACCTTTCGGTAGCCGAGGTTCTACATCAGATTTTCGGCCAGAAGGTGAAGAAGAAAGCAATACCTCCCCCAATCTGGAAACCTTCTTGTCCAGCATCCTGATGTCTGTGTGCAAAGCCACCTGGTCTATCGCACGCGCGTGGCCCTTACATCGAAGGATGCCAGAGATAAACTCGTGAAGCGTTACTTCACCGTCACCATCATCCAGCAAATGGAACCTCGCTCAAAACGATTTGTAGCTGGGGCATGCAGATTCTAGATCTACTTGGCTTTATCATATCATCCAACAAACGGAGTTAACAGGGATGTTCTTTGTGCTTGCCCATTTGCAGTGCCGTGCTCTCCGTTATGTCCAAGTCCAAGGTCTGAAAGTATGCCCTCACCTGCAGGACTCGAGCAGCAGAGTTGTGATCGTGACAAGTGCCATCCAAGTTCCAGATGACGAAGACTGTTGTGCCTTCTTCTTCTTCTGTGATTCTCGACTTTGCCACTGGGCGGAACATGAGTGCCTCCCCTGTGTGGCGACTCTTGCACAAACAAGTTTGCAGCCCCTCTGCGGTCCATGAAATTATGCCACGCTGGTCAAACCAAACCAGCAATAATCACACAATCTGCAAATCTAGGAAGAAGCAGCGAGCAGACTAGCGACAATGGCCGAGAATTACTTTTCCACCTCGCAAAGCTGTCAACCTCGCACTTCACGCTTCCACTGCCCAAGCTCTCATACAACTGAATATGACACACATGACAAACTTCAGCACACTGAATTTCTTCACAGAGACGACGCTGAAATCCCAAAGGTGGCCATCATACAGCTAAAGGAGGACAAGCTAGCTAGTTACCATGTAACACCAAGCAACCTAGTTCCCTGGTACTGCGGACTTTTCCACCAGCCATACCAGCCCGCTTTCCGAGAGCCTTGGTGTGCATTTGTGAGAATCGAGCTTCGCACCGCAAGTGCTTGGCACTACGTGCCTGGCTAAGCGACGTGAACAGCGCGGCTCACTCCACTTCCACGCGCTTTTCACCACCGTCGTGCGCGGCACCTCTGGTTGGTGAGCTGCTTTTCCAAGTGTAGGAACGAAGAGGGCACCGAACATGGGTCGCGGGTCCCCAAGCCCCGAAGACCCTTGTAAACGTCTTCGAACTTGAAGTCGGCTCTGTCGCATCTCATCTCATCGGCCTCAAACCAATCACCTCGACCGATCTTGTGGGAAAGATTAGCTGCCGAGCTCACTCAGTGGAAAGTGAGTGAACGTCGGGAGCCACTGCCAAAAGGCTCCCAATACCTTCGTGAATAGGGCCGTCCCGAACTCGACCTGTGGCTGCGCCGGTGGCCTTTGCGGTTCTGGGAGGGGCACGAACGGGTCCAACACGCCGGACTCTGGACGGCTGTGCGAACTGTAACCCGGTCACCACGCACACATTCGGCCTTAGCCAAGCGTCCAGGCCTCTAGGGGCAACTGCACTATCCGCTGGGGGTCGGCTTGTGCGTGAGCTTGCTGCTGGGCCGCCACGTCGAAGCACTCTTCGGCTGCCACCTCGCCCCCGACGACTGTTGGGCTCCTGACCTTGCAACCAGCCCGTCGGCGGCCGAACTGGGGCCGACGGCTTGCGCGGAGCGAACTCTGTCCCGCTTCTTTTCCAGGTAAAGCTTTCGCCGGCACCGAGTCCGAGGGTGTAGCCGACGGCGGTAAGGGCGGCGGGGAAGTCGGTGCTGGGGTTCTTTGCCAACTTCACGACGGTGCCGCAGGAGAGGTAGCAGCATTCGCAGCAGCCGGCTCTCCAGTGCTGCTGAGCACCGCCGGCGGTCTGGAGCGGGCTCGTCCATGTCATTCTGCAGCTTCCAGCTGCGAACCAGTGCTGCGCGGACGGTACGTTCGACGATTCGAGGTCGGGCATGTCATGGCATGTCGATCCGATCGAAGAGCGGCTGCAGCTTTGAATCCGTGGTGTAAACCACGCGATGGACGGCCGCCCACAAGTCCACCTGCTCCGCTTCGCATTGCTTCGCCACCCCACGACATGGCGACAGCGAGCACGAAGACTAACTTAAAAACATTCCAACTCGGGCCTTCAAGCTGTCGAAACGAACAAGCCCATGCGAGACTGCACAAAACTATCGCTGAAGCTCGAACAGTAAGCAAACACTTCACTTCGCTAGTCCCTGGGTGCACACGTGCACTACAGCATAAACGAACTGAGCAGCTTCAGCACAACGAAGCTCCTCGCAACATCTCTTCAGGAAAACGGTCAAACCTCTAGCTCCAGCACTTTTAAACGTGGTCAGTCTCAAGAGCCAAACTCTTAAAGAAATTGACCTCGTGCCCCCTCCAGCTGGAAACAAGCCATCATGGAAATCAGTCACATGCTCCAACCGGAGCTCGTGCAGGTTCGTCTCACACAGATCGTGCTGTTTGAGGTTTGTTGGGTCAGTCCTCCGCTACAACAAAGCGAACAACACAGGTTTAAGCGTTCCAGCGCACAGATTCCAGTTTGGACATGAAGATCTTTCCCCTAGCCGCCCCAACATGCCCGACTTGCGACCTGCACATCCCAGTGCTTCCTCAGCAAGTACAGACCTAAGGGAACAGGAACGACACGGTCGTCCTGGAGACTTGGGTGCTCACCATCAGTCTGCATCGTGGGTGTCATGTTTTCAGGCATACTTTTCAGACCCACACGTGCCTTCGGATTGGAGAGGACTTTTTCCAGTCGCTTCTGGGTGATCATGCCATCTCCTGTGTCGTCGATTGCCCGAAAGATGCCCTGCAAGTGGCGCACGAACCTCGGAAAGAACAACGGTGTGGCACATTGCAGGACTCGCAACCTTTGCATCCAGGACTCGCAACCTGCAAGAGAAGACATTCGGTGCAACAAGGTCACCTTTCCCGCCGTGCCATGTTCTCCATGATTTGCAGTTCGGCGTCATTGTTTGCGGCATCGAGCGTGTCTTTGAGAAAGATGGCAGTGATGATGCGAATAAGCGCAAAGGCAATCACCGTTGTGTAAAGTACAAAAAAAATGGCAAAGCCCTGGCTTACCTTGTCCAGGACCGGACGTGTTCTTGTAGGCCAGCTGCCAGCCTGGGCTGAGCAGAAAGAAGTGCTTGGGGCAAATCATGCGTGCCGGTGCTGCCTATTCACCGCAAGACATAACTGCATCAACTCCTGCACGAATTAGCGTAAAGTGTGGCAAAGCATATTGGGAGCATGAGTTTCACTCGCTGCGCTGCACGCCGTGTTGATCGGCAGATTCCGGACTCATGTGACTCGCAGTTTGCAACGGAAACAGCACACAGCCGCATCTAGACGAAGCCAGGTGCTAGACATCTTGCCACAGCGACGCTCGGAAGACCAGACAACTGTGGCAACCGACGACTACCACCCCAGAGAGTCCACCACCATGCAACAACTGCTAAGACATGCTTGACAAGCCAAATGAGGCCGGCAAGCAAATGTCACCTCGTACAAGGTGAGCCAGGAGCGATAAGCTGTGCCGTAGTGATGCCAGATCCACTGTCTGTCTTCCAGATTCGCCGACTGATCTTGAATGAAATCCTGTAGGATGTTCCCGATGACGAGGGCACCCACAATGATGAAGATCAGCAGTAGCACCATTGACCAACACAGCGAAGATGCAAAGGATTGACAAGCTTTCCTGGCTAGAACCAGATCAAGTAACATACAGAAATTGACAAGAGAACCAGCAGTTTAGCCCCTTGCAAGCAGCCGAGGCAACCCGTAAGGAACGAGTACTGCGCAATGAAAGCCAAGGTTCAGAAGGACTTGTAGGCCATTACACAGCCGCAACACACGAAGAAGGCGCAATGCTCTTAAAGAGCTGATGGCCCGCAAAATGTTGCCTGTGTGGAAATCTGTTCAGCATCCACGAGTGGGCTTCTTACTCGACGCTCGCCGGCAAAGGAACGGCACAATCAAGGGGCCGGAATGCTCCCGTCTGAAGCTTGGACTATGCCACAACTATCCTCTAAGAGCATTTTTCATGCCGGTTGGCACCGGGAAACCGCAGGTTACCATGGCGCATGTCAGATCCGAAGCTTCCCTGCGTGCGGCTTCGTCACGTTGAACGGTGCCCAGGTTGCTCCTGTCTGCCTCTTGCAGCAGCACGTAAAACCTGGCATTATCATGAAACCCGTCCAAGGCTTTCCCCGAAATCTGGGTGTTCTGGCAGTGGTCTCGTGCTGTGATCTTCTTGCCTTCAGCAAAGACCGACCGAAAGCTGTTGTACGCAGGTTCTTTTCGGGCATGTTGGGCTTCATGTGGTCTCTCAGGGCCTCAGGAAAGGGAAAAGCGCGGTCTGGCTTCGAGGCACCAGTGCACTTTCGATATCTGGTAATGTTTTCAGTTATTTGCTTAGGAATGGCCCATGTCCTCCGCCCCAAAGCCTGATGATTCTCCCTCTGTCAGTCAGAAATCGCCGGAGGCACAGATCGAAGGCTGCAAACATGCACAGCAAGGAATCGAACCTGCCAGGCTCTGCTCAAATCTTGTCTGGTTGCGCATTTGCCAAAAAAACCGAATGCCGAGGCGCAGGTTTGCCTTAGCTCAAGCGAATCATGCAAGAAATAGCAAAATCTGAGCTCAACCAAAGTCTTCCAGCTGATAAAGCCGGTGAGATGAGCTACAAATGACGAAATCAAGAATGCGTCTTCTCTGGCCTGCACCCCGGTACTTTAACCTCGGGCCGAGCGCGGACTAGATGTCTCCTGGCCTCCGCTCACCCGCCTAGTTTCAAGGTCCTCAAAAGAGTCGGGGCAACCCATTGAACTCTGATTTAGTTGCGCTCGTGGAGCTGGCTAGGGGTACGCTTGGGACGGCGGCAATTTCTCGGGTTCATAGCACTCACCCCGGATGGCACTCCTTGTTTTGCGGCAAATAGTGGTCGCGGCAGTGCAGTTCACTACATCATTCTACAGTAACCGTTACACTATGCAAGCTTTGACGGTGGTCCAACGATTCCACCCTTAACAAAGCCGAAACACTTTCACGTGGCGGGTTCTGCGCGAAAGCATGCCACAGCTGCATTGAACTTGTGAGGTTACGTGTATAGGGTTCTTAACACTGCAGCCCCTGGTAGCTGACGGGCTGCGAAGCTGTGCCGAAAGCTGCCTCTTTCCACGGCCACTCGACAAAGGAGCTCCTCAGTGGACGTGTGAATGAAACTGCTTTCGGCCGGGCCGGATTGATCCAATTTGTCCGCGCCTAAACGAAGAGAAGTGCTGACAGGCAGGCAAGGATCGCATATGAAGAGAACATCGAAAGTGCCATCCACGGCGCGAAAGTACGGCCGCAGATTGTCTGTCGAAAGTGGCCCACTGGACGTCATGTCAACATGCGCTGCTCTTCCTTCCAGCTGCAGTCTGCAGTCGTGCAGTCAGGCATGTTCGGATGCATTGAGTTGCTCTGAGAAGCTAAATCTTGAAAACATTGGAGCATACGATCGTGAGGCTGTTTGCTATCCCGCTTTGAGGCATGTGCTATTTTGGATTTTACAGTCTGTGTAGCTTCATCTCTTTGGACTTTGGTCCCACCGTCGTCGGACCCCTTCCCTCGTCGTCTGGCGATCCTTTGCCACATGTCTAGCTTCCCGCCAACGGCACAAGTCTTCAAGTGTTCAAAAACTCACCAATCATAAGCATTACCTATGGGGACTTGGCAGCAATACGACTAGGCTGCAGGCACTCACCTTTCCTCCAGATAACGCACCCGCCTATGCACGTCTCCGGAATCGTTGGTGAAAAGCTCATAAGCTCATCGTGACATGCTTAGCCTTGCGATCGGTAAACCCGAAATTTATCAGCGTAACCTGAACCCCCGTGAAGAAGCAGCTGCCCACCCAGATCCATGTAGTTTCTTGTCCTTCCAGCTCCAGCTCGAAGATCAACGCGATTGTATGCAGGACGACAAGAGCTGCAGCAATGTAGTCCAGGAGCCGGATCCATCGCAGCGAGATGCAATTCTGCTCGTGTTCTGTTGCCAACGTGAGGTCTGTCACGTTTCGGAAGACGTTTGCTGCGTCCACCTCATGTCCTGATGATACGGAACCAGGCGAATCAACTTCTGGTGGGAATGTAACCACCATGGACTGCGAGATTGGATGCTCACTCGGAAGACTCGGAACCGGTGACATAGCCGGGGGATCATCGCCCGAGGCATGTGGCTGCCAAGTGCCATTCAGCTGGCTCAGCAAGTTCAGCTCTGAGAGGCTCTCTGGAGCCGGCTCGGGATGCAGCCTTTGCACCTCTGAGGAAAGGATCAAAAAACATCGCTCTTAAGGTGCTGTGTGCAGCAAACAGCAACAAAGATTTAACGCACAGCCCGTGGTGTAAGCACACACCTGACATGGAGCAAGATCAAAGACAAAGAGTCGACCTGTATCGTTGCACATCAGGGAATCTCACGCCGAGCAAAAAAGGGCACACTGCAGTCCAGCAAGCCTGTGGCAAAACAAGGCTACGAGTCACGGTTTCAAGCCGGGCACCGCTTTCAAGTCGTGACGCATTTGGTCAAAGCTTTCCAGAATCGCTGACTGCAACATGCTCTCTTGTTGCGCCTCAGTTGCTGAAGAAGCATCTGATTTGGGCCCTTGGTCGTTTCTGTGTCTCCACACCCCTCCCGGCCAGCCATGTGGCAGCCGAACTCTAGAGCTTGAAATGCAACAGTTTCCAACAGGCTGAATGGGTTCCGAGGCACCAGCACCTTCCCCAGCTTCGCTTCGTGCTCATCCAGCTGAAGCAGCAGCCGCTCGTCCATCAAATACGAGAGATGACAGCAGCTCGGGGAAATGGCAGGAGGAGTGGCCCGGTCGTCGTCCTGCCTTGTAATGGGCTTGGGCATCAAAGTGCAACGAGGTCTGAGGCAATCTCTGCATGTCATCCTTGCACGTTGAATGCCGTCGGACGATAGAATCGGAAAATGTTCGCATCTACGCTGGACCTGTGGAAGCCTTTCGTGACCGCTAATATGTTTTTCCGAAGCTGCAAAAGACACATGGCATGCAGGGCCATCTACATGGGACATCTTCATGAGGCTGCCATCCTGTCCAGGGTATGGAAAGAGTAAGCCCGCCTCTGCATGGGGCCGCGCGCACTCAACAAACTCCTATTTTTCCATCTCTCTACCTAGCCTTCTTTGCAGATAGATGCAGTGGCTCCGTCTCCGAGAGCCGAGAGCCCGGCTCCAGCAAAGCTCTAGAGCCCAGCACAGCTTCAGCGAGATGACCTCTGTCAGGCGGGGCTTCTGGTACCTACAAGTGTTGCACTGAATTCGTCAGAGGTAAGAAACACAGACCCGCGTGGCGCGGAAGGTCGAAGGGGTAGCTTCGGTGTTGGCAGCATCGAAGATCGCGGGAATGCCGATTCCCGAAGCTGCAAGTCATATCCTCCCAGCTCATCGGAGTAATTGAATTAATGGTGACAGTCTGCTTTGTTGGGCCTGATGCGGACGAATGTCTTGCAAAATTCAATACCTTCTTCGGGGCCCGGGCTGAGGGCAGTCCCCCCAACCGCGGTGTGCCGCCCGATCCATCACTTCGACAGACTTGACTGCGGACGTTCGTCCCGGACCGACGGATCGAGACTTTCTGTTCTCTCACTGCCGCTCCAGGTGGTCAGAGTTCAGGATTGTGACAACTTTGCCGCTGCTGGGGTCCAGGCCACGAGAGGCAAGCACAGCCTTGGGGAGACCATCGTCAAGGCTGCGCAAGACCATAGCAAGGTGCGCCACAGCACAAAGCCGCATCACTAGTCAATGGAGTTATCTTTGTTACAATCATCGACAGCAAACTAACAAGCTGTTTCAGCATTTTGAGCTGTGCCAGGTGAGTGCGAGCCCGCATGCGCGCTTGTCTGTGCGTACCACCTTGAGACCATGGGATGCATGACGAAAAAGTGCAGGGGGGCAGTGGACAATCAGGAAGGCACTGCCCAACGAAGACTTTTCCAGTTTGTCGTGAGATGGATTGGGGACGCTCAATCCAGGTATTTGCGAGCAGCCGCCCAAATTTACCCTGAAGTTGTTCTTTCTGTAGTGGCCGCAGAGATGAAGCTTCTTGAAGTGTCACAGCTGAATGAAGATCTGCTCTGTCCGAAGAGATGCACATGAAGAGCTGAACAACAGATATTCGCTTATTAACACATGGCATGACTGACTGCGGTCATATTGGGGGTCAATCCAAGCATGTGTGTGTGTGTGTTTTTCCGAGCATGTGTGCCTGCGTGCGGGCGGGCGGATGAGACCATGCGCTCCGTTGAACAAAGCTCCTCTAGTCTTTGCAACATCCTCTCCCAGAAAGACATCCGCCGTGTTCACCACCACCACCACTACCCCTAGAACACCGGCTAGAGCAGCAGGAGAAACCAGCAGGAACGGCGGTAGAAACCCACCGAAAACACGAATAGGAAACAATTACAAAGGAAGGAATGCACCCGACAACAAATTAAATGTAAAAGGGTAGATGCAAAAGGACATGACGGTTGACGGCGTCATAGTGCCGTCAGCCCTATTGCTTACGACTTCACGGCTAAATTGTATCATCGCTCATTCCACGCCAAGCAACAGTCGGACGAACAGTCCTGTCAGGAAACAACAGGTGCAAAAGAGCTTGTTTCCCAGCCACCCTCACTAGCACCGGTCCTGTGGGCTGAAGCTGCTGGCAAGCCAAATACATGCACACCTGATTTTCAGGAACGCAGGAATGTCTGCAGGTTCATTTGCTGAATTCAAGTGGTTGCAGAGTAGGAGCGCGGCAGCAATGGCGCTTATCTCGAGAACCTGACTCACTCTCAAACACTCTCGTGGCCCAAAGCATTCCTGCCCTGTCCTACCATGCTGTGAGAGCACTGCCATGGATACAAGACCGGCAGTCTTAGGATGCGGCTGCTTCCGCTACGTGATACTTCAGCCGCCGCAGCCTTGGAACGAAATGTGATTGGTGTCGATGATGACCATGGTGATGTTTCTGCTGCCCCTTCTTGCGTGTTAGGTATTACATTTTCGACTCACACACTCGCACAAGCAGGCATGGCATTACATTTTAGGGGTTGTTGCTTTGTTGCATGTTGTCCTGTTGCGTCCTGCCGATGCTTGGCAAAAACACACACAACCTTCAAAAAACCTGGAACCGCGAAAAAGGCAAAATGTACGTGGGTTTTTTATTCCGCGCTGCTGCTGCTGCCGCCGCATAATAATACCGATGCCGTACCCCAAAAAGCGGTGCTTGTTGTTGCTTTTGTTGGTGTTGCTGTTGCGATTGTGGTTGCCGCTGCCGTTTCTGTTTCTGTTGGTGCTGTTGTTGTTGTTGTTGGTGGTGGTGGTGGTGGTGCTGCTGCTGCTGCTGTTGTTGTTCTTGCTGTTGTTGCTGTTGCTGCTGCTGCTGCTGCTGCTGGTGTTGTTGTTGCTGCTGCTGTCGTCCGTCGTCTTCGTCGTCGTCGGCGTGGCTGTTGCTGTTGCTGCTGCATCTGCTCGTGTTGTCATGGTCGCTGTTTCTGATGCGTTTCTTGCTGTTCTTGCAATGCACTTGTGCTTGTGATCGCCTTGTCCGGTCAGTGATGCCGGCAATCACTACATGGTAGGTGTTGGCGCAGTTGCTGTTTGTGAATGTGCATCTTCCACTTCGTGTTGTCTCTTGGAAACTTCCGAAACCACAACCTTCTAGAACAATAGCCTCAGCCTGGAGAGATCTGAAAAGAGGAGCATTCCTTTCACCTCCAGCACCAATGAAGTCTGAACTCCAGCGAGGACCTGCTGCGCTGGGCACGCAACAAGAGTGGCTCGCTATTCCAGCCCATGAGGGCCATGACCTCCAACGGAAGCTGAATGAAGCAAAGGGCCAGAATCTGAGGCAAAGTTGGCGGATTTGCTTACAATCTGCGGCCGCGCGCAGAACAGCGATCAAGCAGCACACTGGCTGAAACTTGACTGGGGTGGCTACTGGATCCATCGTGGCAGCCATTCACCTGGCAAAAAGATGATAACCTGGTAAACTTGTAGGGGAGCCGCTGTCTTCAAGCTACCACCAAGCCAAAGGTGCAGATGCGTCGACTACATACCGACGCATGCTGAGATGATCTGACATAACAGAAACCCATCTTTTGCGTCCCCAGTTGACTCTCTTTCGAATTTGAACGCCAAGGCTGAGCCGAACCTTACATCGTTACAAATACTAAAATATGTTGTAGTATGTTACTTTGAATTATGTTTTATAGCATTAAATTGTTATATTGCATTATACTGGGTCATGTTTGTGGTCTTACATTGTGTTATGTTGCATTATGCAGACACACACACATATATATATAGATATATATATATATACATCAGTTTACACGATCTC